GCCCTCAGAAAAATAGATGAAAAGTCTGTCTGGGTGTGGTTACAATTTTTTGTGTGTTCTCTGCTGGTTAATCTTTTCTGGTTATTTGATGAGATTTTTAAGGAGGGAGTTTTAAGACAGTTGCATTTCTTCTGGAGGAGCTTCCCTTAATCAGATAAGGGAACTTCAGAGAAAGCCCCTTTTGGTGCTTCCAGCAAGAAAAGGGATGAAAGAGAGGGGATAAGGGAAGGTCAGAGAGAGACCTTGGCTCTGAGGCTCATTTCTGAGGCCCTTCAATTTTCTTTAATTCAAAGCACTCAGTATGCTGAAGTACCATATTTGGGAGTATTACTTTCTGAGCCCCATCAAGTCAAAAAATTTGTCAACATTTTGACTACTTGGAACAGATTATTAGTTACTTACTCTCACATATAATTCCTATCCACCAAAGGCAGTCACTCCTAGATCTCTTCAGTAGTGCCCCATAATCTGTATTTTAAAAATATATGAATATATGCTAGTGGCAAAACTTTCGTGTGAATTTTAGAGAATTTTTCCTAGAATTCTGTAAAGAATATTCATATTCCTGTAGATTCTAAGAGAATTCTAAGAATATGTATTTAGATGGACTAGGAGAGCTTTCAGAGTGGAATGTTGATCTGACACTTAAGAAAGGAAAGGAGACAAGAAGCAGAATTGGGGAGGGAGAGTCTCAGAATATGATGCAGATTCTGACAAAGTAAAGATTGCCTATTAGAAGAGAGTATAGTTGTGGAGAAATGGCCACACACTCTCCATGATCAGTCATTGGTGTGGCCTGCCTGGAAGAGTGTGGCTTTGGCTCGCCTGCCATGTCAGGTCCCAGTGGCCCTGCCCCTGGAGCCTGTCAGCTTGTTGCATTGCATTCCTCACAGGTGAAAGACCACTTCTTTCTTGATGACATTGCACCTCAGTGGCTGCCACACCACGTTTTCAATATTAAAATTGAAAGTCCATGAAAGAATTAGTTCAAATTAGGTGTTGAATCTAATTGGCGGGGCTGAGAAGTTCACTAAAACAATAAAACCCTTGTAGAAGCTGTACTTAGTATTGGTTAACTTACATTATCTGGGTGCATACATTATTTTTCATCTATTAAATGTGGATAATGACATACATCTGTCAGGTTTCAGTCTGAAACGTTGGTTCTTGGCACGATCATGGCTGAAGAATGACCAGACATACCAAAGTTAGGCAAGCACAAAAATGGGGCCTATCGAGGAGAGAAAGATAGGATTATAGAGCAAGAACAAGATGCAGGTTTACAGAGCATGGTACATATGCCACAGATGACAACTGGACCCATTTTTACAGCAAAGTGAGAGCCAAAGGAAGGGCACAAAAAGAGAGCTTGGTTATGGTCTGGGTCTTGTTTTATGGTGTCTGGATAGGGACCTCCCCGTGGTTCACACGTCACCACAGAATAACTTTGATTGGGTAGTTGAGGAGCTGCATGACCTGAGTCTTACTGCACATGCGGGTTTTAGGTCACTTTCTCGACTTTGTGGTACCCATGTGGCTTGGCCTGTGGGCTAGAGTCTCCTCTGCATTCTTTGCAGCTGGGGCACCAAGTTCTGATTGGCAGACTCGTAAGGTATTCCCTCCTCCCCAGGTATGGAGAATTAGAGTTGTACAGGACCAAGATGGCGGCAACAGCAGCCACTTTCGTCCCT